TTGAAGAGAAGGCAAAAGCAGATACGTTAAAACTTCCACCTACATTTTTTTGTGGAGTCTGTAGTGATACTGATGAAGACAATGGAAATGGGGAAGACTTTCAATCAGAGCTTCAAAAAGTTCAGGAAGCTCAAGTAAGAATATCTCTAATAAATTTTCCTTTTAGTTCCATTGCTTTTGTTGATGCGGTAAACTTTAGAATGTTCTCATTTGTTTATTTTTGAGACAGAATTTCACTCTTGTTGCCCAGGCTGGAGTGCAATGGCATGCTCGTGGCTCACTGCAGCCTCTACCTCCCAGGTTCAAGTGAATCTCCTGCCTCAGCCTCACGAGTAGTTGTGGTGGCATCCTGCCTGGCTAATTTTTGTATTTTTAGTAGAGACGGGGTTTCACCATGTTGGGCAGGCTGGTCTCGAACTCCAGACCTCAGGTGATCCACCCGCCTGGGCCTCCCAAAGTGCTGAGATTATAGGTGTGAGCCACTGCGCCTGACCTAGAATGTTCTTACCAAATAGTAATAATGGGTTGTGGCTACTAAATGGGTTGAGGGGTCTAGACTAAATCAGCTATGGCCAGGAAATAAGGAATTTTAATTTTGTTCTACACAAGAGCTATATGCCAAAAGCCACAAAACACTGATGAAATAAAAAATCTAAATTAATGGAAAGGTATACTGTTCCTGGATTGGAAAACTCAAAATAACTAGAATATCAGTTTTCCAAAATTAATCTATAGATTTAATACAATACCAGTCAAAACCCCTCCAGGAATTTTTTTTTTTTTTTGGGTGAGATGAGTCTCGCTCTGTCGCCAAGATGGAGTGCAGTGGGGCAATCTCTGCTCACCTCAACCTCTGCCTCCCAGGTTCAAGTGATTCTCCTGCCTCAGCCTCCTGAGCAGCTGGGACTATAGGAACGCGCCACCATGCCCAGCTAATTTTTGTATTTTTTAAGTAGAGACAGGGTTTCACCATGTTGACCAGGATGGTCTTGATCTCTTGACCTTGTGATCCACCCGCCTCGGCCTCCCAAAGTGCTGGGATTACAGGTGTGAGCCACCGTGCCCAGCCAAGAATTCTTTATGGATATACATAAGTGAATTCTAAAATTTCTATGGAAAGAAAAGCTTATACATTTGTTACAGTTGATGAATCTACACTGACACATCATCACCTAACGTTTTTACCTTTTTGTCAAAAATTTTAACTATTGATACAATCGTGATTCTTTTTATTAAATCTGTGAATGACATTGCTTTTCAAATGTTCAGAAAATTAACTTTGCATTCCAGGGTAAACTTCACTTGGTCAGGGTATAATTTTGATATGTGGTTGCGTTCAATTTGCATAAATCTTGTTATAAATTTTTGGGTTTATATTTATCAGGATACTTGTAGTTTTCTGAAACTGTCTTTGTTTTCCATGTAAGAGTAATGCTGGTTGGGCTCAGTGATATGTGTGTGTGTAGTCCCAGCTATTTGGGAGGCTGAGGAGTAGGAGGATTGCTCGGGAGTCCAGGAGTTCCAGGCTGCAGTGCGCTGAGATGGTGCCTGTGTATAGCCACTGCTCTCCAGCCTGGACAACAACATAGTGAAACCACCTCTTAAAAACATGGTAATACTGGTGTCATAAAATGAATTGAGAAGCATTTTCTGTATTGCTGTCTTATGGAAGAGAGTGTGTTGACTTGGTGCCATTTTCCCTTTAAATGTTGAGCTGTTTTCACCAATGAAACCATGGCTGGAGTTTTCTTAAGTTTTAAAAAATACTATTTATTTCTCTTCTTTATTATTTCCTTCTTTCCTTCTTGCCTCGGGTTTATTTTGCTCTTTTGTCTAGTCTCTTTTCTTTTTTCTTTTTTTTTGCTTTTGAGACAGAGTCTTGCTCTGTCTCCCATGCTGGAGTGCAGTGGCATGATCTCAGTTCACTGCAACCTCCACTTCCTGGGTTCAAGCAATTCTCGTGTCTCAGCCACCTGAGTAGCTGGGATTATAGGCGTGGCTAATTTTTGTATTTTTAGTAGAGACGGGGTTTCACCATGTTGGTCAGGCTGATCTCGAACTCCTGACTTCAAATGATCCTCCTGCCCTGGCCTCCCGAAGTGCTGGGATTACAGGCGTGAGCCCCTGTGCCTGGCCTAGTTTCTTAATTTAAAAAAAGCTTAAATTACGAATTTAAGATCATTCTTTATTTCTAGTATAAGTATTTAATACTATAAGTTTCCTTCTAAGCACTTCCTATCTGCAACTGGCCAAGTTTTAATATGTGGTATTTTCTCTTTCATGCAGTTCGAAATATTTTCTTATTTTCCTTGAGTCATTCTTTGTGATCTGTACATTAGATGCTACTGTGCCATTTCCAAATATTTGGTGATTTTCCTTCCGTATATCTTTCTCTTACTGATTTCTAGTTTAATTCCTTTATGGTTTATGAAAACATTTTGAATAATTTCAATTCTCATAAATGTTGTGAGGTCTGTCTTGGTGAATGTCTCATGTGTACTTGAGAAGAAAGTAGAGTCTCTTGTTTTGTTGACATTGTGCCATTGGCAGTTCCAGTTTTTTCTGGCTGCTGTAGCACCCAGGCTGGGTTATAGGAGTGGCAGAAAAACTCCACGTGGATCTTAACCTCCAGATTATCTCTCTGGTCCCAAGATCCTTTTTCTTCCTGTTTTTATCCACCTTTCCAAGGCTTCTTAGAGGTGCTCTGTATGTTTCAGTCTAGGCATCTAGTTGTAGGTTTTGGGGAGAGATAGGGTGAAGTGTGTTTATTCTGTCTTCTCCAGAAGCCCAAGTTCTCAGTTCCCTTTGAAATAGATTATATAGCCATTTTTGTAATTTAGCATTTAAGTGGCATAGTGTTTTGTGACTTCCTCTTTGCAGAAATCTCAGACAGAAGAAATAACTAGCACAACTGACAGTGTATATCCAGTTGGGACTGAAGTGATGGTACCTTCTTTCTGTAAATCTGAAGAACCTGATTCTACTACCAAATCCATTAGTTCACCATCTGTTTCCTGTGAAACTGTGGACAAACCTGTAGATTTGTCAACTAGAAAGGAACTTGATACAGATTCTACAAGCCAAGGTAAAACTTGATATATGTGTATCATGTATTACATAAGGGACACCTTATTTATATTTGAGAAGATAGACTTTTAAAGGCAGATCCTGAAAACTCCCTTTAAAACAAATTTTGATGTGTATATAAAGGGGCATCTTAGTAGTAGTAGTAATAATCATCAGAAAAATTGTATTGTCTTGCCAACAAATATGTTTTTATTGATAGAGTTGTGGTTATTAGGGAATACAAAGCATTATGACTCTGACCTATTTTCCTAAGTTTAAAAGACAAGAGTGTTGTTACATGTAATTTCCTTTGTGATAGCGTTTTCATTTAAATATTGTTTGAATTATATTATCACTCAAGCATATTCAAAGTGTTTTAATTATGAAGAAATTGTAGAAATATAATAGGGATTTAAGAAAGTTTTATGGTACTATTTAATGTTTCTTTAATAGTTTCAAAGCTTGCTAAATTAATTATTCAGTTACAGTAACATATTTGGTATTGCTGTCTCTCTTTCATTTCGATTTCGGGGATGGAAGTGGGAAGTTTAAGTTGTATTGCTTTGTGTATATTACCTACTTTTAAAAAAAGAAATAGCCTTCAGTGTCACAAATACTACATTTATAGGCATTTGAGAGTCTTAATGTGCTAAAAGAAGAAGATGACTTCATACCTAAAGCCTCATATATTTTCATATGAGGAAAATAAGGCATGGGGCTTTCAGAGATCATGCAGCTTCACATCAGCAGAATTAAGAGAAGACCCCAAAAGTCCTTATGACAAAGTGTAAATGAGACATTTGGTTTTTATGAGCTTATAGTACAGAACACAAAAAGTTTTTATACAGATGTTTCCTAAAACCCTGCCTTTGACTGAATGCTTGCTTTGGAGTATAGTAGGCTCCATAGAGCAGAAACGGTAGTTTATTATCTGGTGTAATATAGATAGCGCTACATCTCATTTATAAAAAATAAGTTTTGGCATGCATTTGCATCTGGTGTAGTATTGTAGTATTCTTTGTGAATAGCACCTGTAAAATTAGTAATACTGAAGCAGCTCAGAATTGGATGTATTTTGTAACTTGTCAGAATTGAAATAACTCCCTTCATCCCAGAGTATACAAGGCTCTACTGTTCTCTCTAGGTCCTGGGTAAAGCTTTGATATTCAGCACAAATGAAATAGTAAATTGTTTTTTCTTTTGCCAGGGGAAAGCAAAATAGTTTCATTTGGATTTGGAAGTAGCACAGGGCTCTCATTTGCAGACTTGGCTTCCAGTAATTCTGGAGATTTTGCTTTTGGTTCTAAAGGTAAGATGAAGAGGAGAGACTTTTAATGACATTGCTGCAGAATCAAGCACAACTGAAAAACTAGTTTTTTGTTGCAGTATGTAACTAAATTAGAAGTTTCTTCCCTTACCCCCCAGTTTGTTTAGTGTTTTAATAATGAAGGGCTTCTACACTTTATTATTATTTGACATCAACATAATCATAAGAATTTTCTCTAAATTTTATGTAAGCCATGCTGATAGTCCTCCCCATTCTGAAATGCAGAACCATTTTCGAGCTTTGGAATGACTCTGACTTTGGTCATTATTCTTTTAACTATACTTTCAGATTTGATTTGTTAATATTTCAGGATTTGTGAGTTTATTACTTTTTAAGGGTATGATTTTGTAGTTTTCTGTACTATCTTTGGATTTCAGTATTAGGGTTGTGCTAATTTATTGTGCTAAGTTTATAATTGGTGAGCTTGCCCATCTTCTTTAGTGGAGTTTCTATTTTTAATCCATTTTGGTAACATTTCTAGAAAATAATCCATTTCCCTGATTGTATCGGGTTTACCAGTAAAGACCATTCATTGTATTTTCTCATTCTTGTAATATCTTTCACATTGTTCTTTATAGCACCACTTAAATAGTTGTAGTACAAGGTGTTTGATTTATGGAATACATTTTATTGAGGATATATGCTTAAATGATTAATGCAGTTCAGAATTCTGTTCTTTCCTCCTCCATATTTGCACTTTTTTCACAGCTCCTGCCACCTGTAGAAACACATAAAACTTTTAGAAATTACCTTCAGATGTGATGTTATGTTGGAATTCGTGGGCTTCACTGATGTTATTTATTTTTGTTTTAATTTATTAAATAGCCTGAAATCAAAGGGTAGTGTGTCAGCAAATAAGCAATATAGTAGGTACACTTACACAAAAAAATCCCAAATAAAAATAGATAGGCTCCTTGTTAATCAGTGTAGCCTTTTTGAAGTATTATGTCAATATTGGACACTAAAGTGTAAAGTAGAAAATACTCACATATCAGGAGGAAAACCATGCCTAAATAAGCCTTATGCATTGACATTCACTTCTCACTACCACTTGTCATTTTTAGTGAGATTATTCACCAAGCTCTTGTGTATTGAACGCTTTAGTTAGTTTAGATTGTGCTTGTTAAAAATAGTATTTGAAACTGTAAATGCCCTGCAGTTTTGTTTGTATCCATAGGTTTTCATAGGGAATCTTTATATTTTTGTTAATTTCCAGATAATTTAGAGATTCAATCTTATTTTCTCTAATGTCTCAAAGCTTGCTGAATTAATTATTCACTTACAGTAACATCACTGTAGACCCCCTTATGACCTGTGAGACCCAGATACTGATATATTATAACATATTTTTACAAATGGTTGATTCTAATGTATTCCCAGGGTAGAGAACCACTATTTTGAAAGAATTTTGAATTCTTCTGCCACATGTCCCTTGGGGTTATTTTTTAAATTTTTGCTTTCAACAAAAAAGTTGCTGAACAATTTTGTGTTTTTTTGTTTTTGAGACAGGATTTCACTCTGTTGCCCAGGCTGGAGTGCAGTGGCATGAACACAGCTCACTGCTGCCTTGACCTCCTGGGCCCTTCAGCAATCCTTTCACCTCAGCCTGCCAAGTAGCGGGGACCACAGGTGTGTACCACCATGCCTAGCTAATTTTTGCATTTTTTGTAGAGACAGAGGTCTCACTATGTTGCCCAGGCTGGTCTCAAACTCCTGGGCTCAAGCAGTCCTCCCACCTTGGCCCTGCAAAGTGCTGGGATTGTAGGCATGAGCCACTGCACCTGGCCCTGAACAGTTATTTTTGAGCCCCTAAGTTGGTATCTCATCCAGATCAGCGGTTACTGGTCTCAGGAAGTCCCCATGCAACCTGTGATTTTTGTTCTCGGATCATTCCTTTGCAATACAATTGTTTTATGTCCTTAAGAATTTTTGTCTTTGTCTCTTTTTTTTTTTTTTTTTTGAGACGATCACTCTGTTACCCAGGCTGGAGTGCAGTGGCGCAGATCTCAGCTTACTGCAACCTCTGCTTGCTAGGATGAAGTGATTCTCCTGCCTCAGCCTCCTGAGTAGCTGGGATTATAGGTGTGTGCTGCAACACCCCGCTAATTCTTTTAGTATTTTTAGTAGAGATGGGGTTTCGCCATGTTGGCCAGGTTCATCTCGAACTCCTGACCTCAAGTGATCAGCCCGCCTCGGCCTCCTGAAGTGCTGGGATTACAGGTGTTGAGCCACCACACCTGGCTCTCCCTCTCTCCTCTTTAAAAACGTTTTTTTTCCCCTCCATTAAATCCTTCTTAAAGAGAGTTTTTTATTGTGTTCTTTAAGATACTGAGTTATGGACCCTGTGACATTTTTTCTTTCTTATGAGTTTTTAGCAGAAGGTGTAGGGTTCTTTAAGACAGTGATTCAGCAAGTGATGAAAAGTTGAGAGGTGTTTCTTTCCTCTAAGATAGTGGGGACTTGGTCATCTAAATTGAGGTGTGGGATGGAGAAGTTTCTAGTTCTCACCTTTTTGCAGGTATGCAAGAGAGAGACCATCATTGTTCCCCCACACAGAAGTAGAATGTTTAACAGTCTAATACCCTTTGGGCAGTTGAAGTCAGTGAGGTTCTCCCAAGGCTGCTATCCACCAGCCCAGCCAAGAAATCTACATTCCAGCACTAGCTTCTTCAGGAAGAAGTAGAGATGCAGAAATTATAAACATGTTTAGGCTATTGTGGCTAATTTGGAAGTAGCAGGTTTGGCCTGCTGAGCTAAGTTTACAAAATTTCAAGGTGAATACTTGAAATTTTAGAAGTAGATAAAGAACTTAACTTCTTTACTGGAAGTCCTTGTGTAGTTTAGTATTATGAAGTTTATCCAAGGCAGTGACAGTGTTATCTTTGTATCTCTAAGCATAAACAATAACAAATGTATTCTGTACTCCCAGTATGAAGTTTTTTTTTTTTTTTTTGGTGACAGTCTTGCTCTGTCACCCAGGCTGGAATACAATGGCATGATCTCTGCTCATTGCAACCTCTGCCACCAAAGTTCAAGTGATTCTCCTGCCTTAGCCTCCTGAGTAGCTGGGATTACAGGCACCCGCCACCACGTCCGGCTAATTTTTTTTTTTGTAAGACAGAGTCTTGCTGTTGCCCAGGCTGGAGTGCAGTGGGGCGATATTGGATCACTGCAACCTCTGCCTCTCAAGTTCAAGCGATTCTTCTGCCCCAGCCCTCCTGAGTAGCTGGGATTACAGTCACCCATAACCACACACCGCTAACTTTTTTTTTTTTTTTTTTAAAGACAGAATCTTGCTCTGTTGCCTAGGCTGGACTGCAGTGGGGCGATCTCGGCTCACTGCAACCTCCACCTCTCAGGTTCAAGCGATTCTTCTGCTTCAGCCTCCCAAGTAGCTAGGACCACAGGCGCATACCACCACGCCTGGCTTTTTTTTTTTTTTTTTGAGACGGAGCTTCCCTCTTACTGCCCAGGCTAGAGTACAGTGGCGCCATCTCGGCTTACTGCAACCTCTGCGTCCTGGGTTCAAGTGATTCTCCTGCCTTAGCCTCCTGAGTAGCTGGGATTACAGGCATGTGCCACCATGCCCAGCTAATTTTGTATTTTTAGTAGAGATGGGGTTTCTCCATGTTGGTCAGATTGGTTTCGAACTCCTGACTTCAGGCGATCCGCTCACCTTCGCCTCCCAAAGTGCTGGGATTACAGGCATGAGCCACTGCGCCCGGCCTAATTTTTGTATTATTAGAAGAGATAGGGTTTCACCATGTTGGCTATGGTTTGGTCTGGAACCCCTGACCTCAGATGACCTTGGCCTCCCAAAGTGCTGGGATTACAGGTGTGAGGAATTTACTAGAATAATATAGTTTTAAACATTTAAAATTGATGTACATATTACATCATCGGGAATTAGAAGGATTGATAAAATAAGAGGGGGATGAAAAATGTAAAAAATAGATACCAGTGTTTAAATATCTTGATTTATTCATCAGATAAAAATTTCCAATGGGCAAATACTGGAGCGGCTGTGTTTGGAACACAGTCAGTTGGAACCCAGTCAATTGGTAAAGTTGGTGAAGATGAAGATGGTAGTGATGAAGAAGTAGTTCATAATGAAGATATCCATTTTGAACCAATAGTGTCACTACCAGAGGTAAATGTTAAGGGATTAAACTTTTACTAATAACTTATTTTTCATTTTTAAGTTTAAAACTTACCCTGGCTTGATCTGTCAGGGTATCATTGTTTGCATTTAAGAATGTTTACAGTTTGAAATGGAAGCTCTATTTATTAGATGTCTAGCCTTTAAGTATAAATTATCTTTTTGCAGTTTTTACATAAATATTGGTTTATAAATTCTATATGTAATTGTTGGGAAGAAATAATTTTTTCGTATGTTTCTAGAATATCATGTTTGTTTTTATAACATGATTCTGGGGAAAAATTAACCTCATACGAAAGTCCTTTCAATAAACATTAATCTGTGTTTTTTGGACAAGAACATTGTTCTAGGAAAATTATTTTGTCATTTTTAACCTCAGTATCTTATATATTTCTCTTCAGTAGCAGACACTTTTGAAACCTCTGTTCCTATAAAGAAAAGCATTTAATTTCCAAAGGGAAAATGAATACTATATAAAAGAAAATATTTAATGACAAATCAGGTCTTTACTCCCTCAGCCACATCAGATGTATTCCTAGCCCTAAGATATATAACCAATTATTATATTAACAAATTCTCTTTGTCATCACAAAGAAAATGCCTTAAAAGAATTTGGATCTTTGAAATTTGTCATGGAATTTATTATAAGCAGCAGCTTATAGAGTATTTCATCTCCTATTATAGGTAGAAGTAAAATCTGGAGAAGAAGATGAAGAAATTTTGTTTAAAGAGAGAGCCAAACTTTATAGATGGGATCGGGATGTCAGTCAGTGGAAGGAACGTGGTGTTGGAGATATAAAGATTCTTTGGCATACAATGAAGAACTATTACCGGATCCTTATGAGAAGAGACCAGGTTTTTAAAGTGTGTGCAAACCACGTTATTACTAAAACAATGGAATTAAAGCCCTTAAATGTTTCAAATAATGCTTTAGTTTGGACTGCCTCAGATTATGCTGGTGAGTTTTTACATTCAAATGTACTTTTCATTTTTTGGACTTTTCTAAAATCTATAACAAAACAACTTATAACAGTTATTTTAACACTAAGGTCACTCCTTCCCCTTTCCCTCCTTAATAGATGGAGAAGCAAAAGTAGAACAGCTTGCAGTGAGATTTAAAACTAAAGAAGTAGCTGATTGTTTCAAGAAAACATTTGAAGAATGTCAGCAGAATTTATTGCAACTCCAGAAAGGACATGCAGCAGAATTATCAAAGGAGACCAATCCTGTGGTGTTTTTTGATGTTTGTGCGGACGGTGAACCTCTAGGGCGGATAACTATGGAGTTATTTTCGAACATTGTTCCTCGGACTGCTGAGAACTTCAGAGCACTATGCACTGGAGAGAAAGGCTTTGGTTTCAAGAATTCCATTTTTCACAGAGTAATTCCGGATTTTGTTTGCCAAGTAGGTATTATTAAGTACATACCGCAATTGAGGTCTTAAAGAGTGCACCACACCAGCGGGAAATTTGGGTGTTTTTCCTGGACCTCATCCTGTAGTTTTGTTTAAGATTTCTTTAGGTTTTCCACACATGGAATCACATGGCATCACTACCCATTCCCTGCTCCTGCCTAAAACTTTCACCCTAAAATAATTTAGGCTGGGCACAATGACTCATACCTGTAATTCCAGCACTTTAGGAGGCCAAGGCAGGCAGATTGCTTGAGCCCCAGAATTTGAGACCAGCCTGGGCAATGTGGCAAAAATCTCATCTGGACAAAAAATACAGAAATAAGGCGTGATGGTGTCCGTCTGTGGTCCCAGCTACATGGTGGCTGAGGTGGGAGCATCCAGGAAGCCAAGGCTGCAGTGAGCTAGGTTTGCGTCACTGCACTCCATCCTGGGCGACAGAGTGAGACAGCCTGTCTTTTTTTTTTTTTTTTTTTTTTTTTGAGACGGAGTCTCGCTCTGTCGCCCAGGCTGGAGTGCAGTGGCCGGATCTCAGCTCACTGCAAGCTCCGCCTCCCGGGTTCACGCCATTCTCCTGCCTCAGCCTCCAGAGTAGCTGGGACTACAGGCACCCGCCACCTCGCCCGGCTAGTTTTTTGTATTTTTTAGTAGAGACGGGGTTTCACCGTGTCAGCCAGGATGGTCTCGATCTCCTGACCTTGTGATCCGCCCGTCTCGGCCTCCCAAAGTGCTGGGATTACAGGCTTGAGCCACCGCGCCCGGCGAGACAGCCTGTCTTAAAAAAAAAAAAAAAAAAAAAAAAAGTTAAATTTTCAGTACTTGAGACCTAGTAGATAGAGACTAAGGGATGGGAAAAACCTTTTCATTTTTCATCTTCTTTCCAACAATATGAATTTCTTAGGTTTCAGATTATACTCAGGAAAGCTGGGCTTTAGGATTTATCCTGTAGCGATGAGTTCTGTGTGTATTTTAGTATTTTACTCAGGATTCCTATTAATTGAAAAAAATTTTTAAACTTTTGTTACACATTTTTTTTTCAGGGAGGAGATATCACCAAACATGATGGAACAGGCGGACAGTCCATTTATGGAGATAAATTTGAAGATGAAAATTTTGATGTGAAACATACTGGTCCTGGTTTACTATCCATGGCCAATCGAGGCCAGAATACCAATAATTCTCAATTTTTTATAACACTGAAAAAAGCAGAACATTTGGACTTTAAGCATGTAGTATTTGGGTTTGTTAAGGATGGCATGGATACTGTGAAAAAGATTGAATCATTTGGTTCTCCCAAAGGGTCTGTTTGTCGAAGAATAACTATCACAGAATGTGGACAGATATAAAATCATTGTGTTTCATAGAAAATTTTATCTGTATAAGCAGTTGAGTTGAAGCTTAGTTATTACAATTTGATAATTATGTTCAGCTTTTGAAAATGGACGTTTCTGATGTACAGATGTAAAATTGCAGCTTATAGCTGTTGTCACTTTTTAATGTTATAATTGACCTTGCATGGTGTGAAATAAAAGTTTAAACACTGGTGTATTTCAGGTGTACTTGTGTTTATGTACTCCTGACATATTTGTATTAAAGTGGAATAATACTAATCTTGTTAAAAGCAATAGACCTTCTCAAACTATTGAAGGAATATGATATATGCAATTTAATTTTAATTCCTTTTAAGATATTTGGACTTCCTGCATGGATATACTTACCATTTGAATAAAGGGACCACAACTTGGATAATTTTACTTTAGATTTGAAATATATTTGGTAATCTTAACTATTGGTGTACTCATTTATGCATAGAGACTCATTTATGAATGGGTAGAGCCACAGAACGTACAGAGTTAACCAAAGTGCTCTTCTCTAGAATCTTTACACCTCCTGTGTGGTTACAAGTTAACTTTGTAAGTAGTGTACCTTCCTTCCTTAAAATATCTAGCTTCCTGTGCTCTTTCATAGGTATTCAATTAATTTTTACATTTTAAACAAGTTGACTATTTCCTTTAGGGGTTTTGTTTTAAACTTTTCTGTCATCTGTCTCTACTACCTCAGAAACTGCAGCTTGGTTCTGATGATAGAAATTGAATTTTTCCTTGTAGTTACTGTGATAAAGTATGAATATTTTTAGAAAGTCTATGCCATGTTATTTGGTTAAAGATTTGCTTTATACAGGATTGTTGCAGTACCCTTTTCTGGTAAATTTTGTAGCAGAAATAAAATGACAATTCATAAGAGCCACTGACATTCAAAAAATTCATTACTTGTGCTTCTGGTTATTCTAAAGGAAGACAATTCAGAGGCAGTAAATTCAAACTGCCGCCTAACTTCCAGAGCTAGTTTCTCAAGTTTGATATACACTGAAAATGTATTTGGAAATGGCTTGTATCAAATGTTAGGCAAATTGCTAAAGAAAAGAGGATGTTCTTATTGGCCTACTCGATATGGAACTACAAAGAATCCAGGTAGAACACAAAATTCTGTATATTGCAATTATGAATACTGACTCTCTTCCACCCAAAGAACACATTCTTTCTGGTGAAATTACCTCATTTTATTTAGTGAGGAAAGACAGGTTTATTCCCTGTTATATGGGGATTTGGAAATTGGGTATCCTAAAGCAAGTAACTGTTCAAAAGAGGGGAGGGATGTTGTGCGAGTAATGATTGATGGTATACCATCACCATTCCACTCAGCCACAAAGCCAGATACCTGAAATAAACCTACTCAAGAACCATGGATTACATATGTTTACACTAAATATTTCAAATTGGCTTATTTGGAAATCTATGTAATATAAACTGATGTAAAGTGTGTTGTAACTTTTCAGCTGAGACAGCTGATGCCTTCGTCATGATTTTAGAATAAATTCTTAACAATGCAAGTGCGTTTTAAGAGACTTTTTGCAGATTTCTATGCTTTCCTAAAGCATTGAAGTTACAAATTAAAAAGCTTTAAACTTTGACCAAAAATTTGACAAAATGACATGTAAACTGACTTTTCTAGTATTAGTATTCCAAAGATGCTTAACAGTGGCTTGTGGCATTTATGAGAAAGTCTTTGTGTCACATTTCAGGAAAGGACTTTGATTTTGTTATTTAATCACTGATGTGGTCTAAACCCACGATGATATGTATCTTTCCTTTTAAACTGGATTTTATATTGTCTCATTGAAATCTGCTTAAAGATAGAATAAAGTAATTCATTATTTGTACATCTTAAGTGGTACTTTATGGCAAAAAGTATGGCTTAAGTAATTTTCAGATAATAACTGCTTAAGTATAGATTTTATAAAACTTGGGCATTTGGGAACTTTAATCCAGAAACTTTAGGAGTTATTAGTCCAGAGATGCAGCTGACAGTCACAACTTAGAAAAGTAAAATATTACACCACTGTAATTGTATGAATGAGAAATGAAGTGGTTGTACAGTTCCCCTCAGTTTTGCTTAACAGGTTTTCAGGTTGATGTATACTATGGCTAGCACTGTTGTGGGTACTGGCAAAAGCTTTTTTCTTTTCAAAAAACAAAAGTTTGTTTTCAAGGAGCTTACATTCTAATTATTCTTTTTAATACCTGGTTATACCCCATATGTAACACAGGAAAAGTGAGGTAATCTGCAATTTCTATGCTCAGCTTTCCTTTTTTTTTTAGGAGATGAGAGTCTTGTTATGTTACCCAGAGTAGATGTAACTCCCAGGCTCCCTAAGCAGCCAGGATTACACGCGCACCACCACTCCTGGCTCAGATATAGTCTTGGTTTTTCTTTTATATGGCAGTTAGGAAAGGCCACTTCTGATGGAGCGACAGGTCTATGGTGAGCGCAAACGCACACTAAACTTACAGGTTAAATGGAGCTGAAGCGGAGCGCTGCAGGCAGGTGTGGGGCCTCGGTGCCCCTCCACCCGTCGTCGTACCCAGGCGGCCGGGGCGGCACTAGCGCGGGGAGATGCAATACTACTCAAGTTATGAGGTCTGCAGCCATAGCACTAGAGACCTGGAGGACGCGCGGTCAAGCCTGGCTGCTTTCTCCGGGTTCTCCAGTTCTGCCCCGCCCCTTCCCTGCGGCCCTGCGTGCCTCTGGGGGCGGGGCCTTGCACGTCGTGACGCACCGCGGTCGCGTTGCGCCGCGGGTTTGATGAACGCGGTTCCCGGGGAGACCGCTGCGGTTGCGGTGTACTATGGAGCCGAGAGTCGTCAAGCCTCCGGGGCAGGATTTAGTAGTGGAGCGTCTCAAAAGCCGCTACGGACTCGGGGGCAGCTGCCCGGACGAGGTGAAGCCGCCGCTCAGAGGTCCGCGGGTGGGCTCCTGCTGCTGCGGAGCAACTCACCCCGTGCCCCGCCCAGCCGGCCTGGGGGCGCGCAGCGGCTCTGGTCCCGGCCCCGGCACTCCCGCGGTGGCTGCGGCTCGGGCCTCGTGGAAGCGGGCGGGAGGGGCGGGCGTTGCGGTGCAGGGGCGCAGGGTCGCCACTTCACCTATGCCTCTGTGTTCGTGGTATACGGGGCATGGTGTGATGTTAGAGAAAGTATTATTCAGTTTTTTATTTTTGCAGTGATGTGAGTGGAGTTGAGAAAACAGCTGAATTGCTTTTTAAAAGCGGCTTATTTCGAAATAATTTCAGACTTACTCAAAAGTTGCTGCCGTAGTACCTTAATTCCAATTAAGTACCAATAATTCCCTTGTACCCTCACTTGCATTCACAAATTAATATTTTGCCACATTTGCTTTACCATTCGTTTTCTCGCCTTCTTTCCCTACACGCGTTTTTTCCCTTTGAACTATTTGAGGGTAATTTGCAGGCATCATGCCCCTTTACCTCTAGATAGAAATAACTTGTGTGCTTTTCCTAAGCATAAGGACGTTCTCTTTTAATAACCACAGTAATATTTTCAGGAAATTTACAATTGATATATTTGGTAATCTTGAGTTCATATGAAATTTCAACCATTATCTCGATAATGCCTTTTATAGGAAAAATTTTTTCCTAGTGCAGATCCAATCCAAGAACGAGCATTGATTGCATTTGATTGTCTTTTTTGTTGCCTTTAACCTGGATCAGGTTCACAGCCTTTGTTTTCTGTAAGATTGGTTTTTTTGAAAAGTGTAAGAATTATTTATTGGAATGTTCCTCCATTTAGATTTATCTTATGGATGCCTCTTCGTTAGATTGATTATGTGTTTTTGGCGGGAGCATGAGATGAGTGATGTGTGATCTGCTGTGGGGAGGCACATGATGTTGGTTTGTCACATTATTGATGATACTAACTTTGATCACTTGGTTAAGATGGTGTCTACAGGATTTCTCCACTCTAACCTTTGTAGTTAATACATAATTTGTAGGGAAATATTTTGAGACAGTAAATTGAGTCTTAGGATACAAATTAAATATCTTTTCTCCTTTTTAGTATGATTTTTCAAATTTTGATCAGTCTAAATGTAAGAGAAGAACTCTAACCTCCCCAGGTAAGCCAGTATTTTGTATATTTGGGGGTTTCAAAAGTTTAATTTGAGGCCGGGCGCGGTGGCTCACGTCTGTAATCCCAGCACTTTGGGAGGCCGAGACAGGCGAATCGCCTGAGGTCAGGAGTTCGAGACCAGCCAGGCCAACACGGTGAAATCCCGTCTCTACTAAAAATACAAAAAATTAGCCGAGCTTGGTGGCGGGCGCCTGTAATCCCAGCTGCTGGGAATGCTGAGGCAGGAGAATCGGTTGAACCTGGGAGGCGGAGGTTGCGGTGAGCTGAGATGGCGCCACTGCACTCCAGCTTGGGCAACAAGAGCGAAACTCAGTCTCAAAAAAGTAAAAAAAATTTGAGAGAGAAGATTTTAAAACTAATATTATTTAGACTTGTGGCCAGTGCCAGATATTTTGTGATATATTGTTCTGGTAATCTTTCGTGGTTTATTTGTCGTTGACAGGTGATTTGGATATCTACTCTGGAGATAAAGTTGGTTCATCATTAAAATATTCTGATGAAAGCAAGCATTGTAGAACACCATTGTGCAGCTTATTCAAGCGCGTAAATGTGAATTGGTAAAGTACCCTGAAACTTTACTGTTGCTACCCCCTCAGTATCTCAAGAAACTGAGAAAGCGAAAAGGGCAAGTTATATTTTTGCTCTTTCCTGAGAACAAGTGTAAGGCAGTCTGGAGCCTGCTAAATAGTTGAAGCGAGTCACTTACTAATTTTTACTGAGGATCTCTGTAATAAAAGCATAGACCTAGCATTATGTTTAGTGTAGCATAATGGAAAATTATTTATATAATGTAAAAGATGAAAAAATATTTTTATGGTTATTCATCCGGGACCCAAATGCAGACTCTGCTCCCTTTCTTTAAATAAAAATGTTTAGAAAAGGAACTATGGACCCGGTGCGGTGGCTCATACCTGTAATCCCAGCACTTTGGGAGGCCGAGGCGGGTGGTTCACCTGAGGTCAGGAGTTCGAGACCACTCTGGCCAACATGGTGAAACCCCGTTTCTACTAAAAATAGAAAAATTAGCCGGGCGTGGTGGTGTGCGTCTGGAATCTCAGCTACTTGAGAGGCTGAGGCAGGAGAATCACTTGAACCCAGGAGGTGGAGGTTGCAGTGAGCTGAGATTGCGCCATTGCACTCCAGCCTGGTTGACAAGAGCAAATCTCTGTCCTGAAGAAAGAAAGATAAAAGGAACTACAAAAAAAACTGCCATACAAGTTTTGTTAGGCAGCAGCATTTTACTATCTCTGGTGTGTCTGGTAGCGTGGTACACATTGTATTTAGGTGGTTAAGAGAGAGATTCAAGAAGGCAGTCTGGGGAGATGGGAACTACAGTGCTGGATTAAAAGAAGTTGCCATTCTGTAAGGAAGATACTATTTACTATGGGGAAAAAGTACAAAAAACAGTGGAAGCTAAGGTAAAATAAAGATCTAAGTTGGATATTATTTAATGCCAAAAATATGTGGTAGAAAGAAATGCTATGGGTATCAAGAAGGAGTAAGCATTTTGAAATAAAGATGTATATGTATATAAAATGAAATGTTGAGATAATTGTGGAGAGAAAAAATAATTATACCTAAAGTATCTGTATGTTACTAACATAATTAGTATTTGGGAGCTTGACTTTTTTTAAATAGTTTTCCCTTTCTCTTCCTAAATAGGTTAAATCTGTGTAATACACTGAACAGTTCTGGGTAAATAATAAGTACTCAGATGTTAGCTATTATCATTGTTATTACTGTTTCATTTTGCACTCACAAAATCTAGTTGATCTAGATTTAGGATTTAGACATGAGCTATGTTGAATGTAGGGTAAGGAAAGTGAAAATTGCTTTTAAGGTAATAAATTCATGGAAATTATTTTCTTTTTAACTGAGTTTTATGATTTTTAAAATAATGACCTGGGTATAATTCTGAACTATAAAGGTTTTGTACTATGAAGATTTTCATAACATTGGACCCCTAGTTGTGATCTGGTCTGAAACTATGGTGTCCAGCACAGTAGCAACAGGCCACATGTATCTATTGAGTACTTGAAATGGGGCTGGTCTGAATTGACATATGCTGTAACTGTCATATACACATGGGCTTTCTAAGACTTAGCATAGATAACAAAAATTAGCAGGGCATGGTGGCAGGTGCCTGTAGTCCCAACTACTCAGGAGGCTGAGACAGGAGAATTGCTTGGACCTGTGAGGCGGAGGTTGCAGTGAGCCAAGATCGTGCCACTGCACTACAACCTGGGTGATAGAGTGAGACTCTCTCTCAAAAAATAAATAAGCATGGATAAAATAATGTAAAATATCTTAATTTTGTATGTGTGTGTTTGTGGATTTGCAGGGGGCAGGGTCATGCTCTGTTGCCCAGGCTGTGAGTGCAGTGGCATAATTGTAACTCACTGTAGCCTCCAACTCCTGTGCTCAAATGATCCTTTCACCTCAGCCTCCTGAGTAGCCGGGATTACATATGTGTACCACTACTGGCTAATTTATTTTATTTAATTTATTTTTTTTTGTAGAGATGGAATCTCACTGTGTTGTCCAGGCTGATCTTGAACTCCTGGACTCAAGAGATACTCCCACTTCAGCCTCCCAAAGTGCTGAGATCACAGGCATGAGCCACCATGCCTGTTATATCTTAATAATTTTTAACATTGATTACATGTTGAAATGATAAACTTTTAGATATACTATATTAAATAGTATTTTTAAAAATTGTTTTTTAATGTGCTACTAGAACATTTTAAATTACCTATATGACTTGTGTTATATTGCTTTTGAACAATACTATTCTAGAAATTTCAACTCAGATTGTCTTTTTGGAGAGAACACCTGGGATTCTAGTTCTGCTCCACTTTCTACTTTTTATGTCACGCATCAGTTATTTGACTTCTTTAGGTTTAGTTTTCTTATGTTAAACATTCATTATTTTGGCTAAAACTACCTTATAAATAACAACAGATTATTGGGAGTCAAAATAAAGTGTTCCTCAGCTGTAGAGTATACCACAGGTAGGTATATGTCATTTTAAATTGTCTCTTTAATGTGTAGAAAAATATCTTGTAGTGGGTTATCAATGATCCGTGACTGTTACTTTTTACATTTTTCCTTTTTACATGTTTACATTTTGCAGTTTAAAAAATGCTTTTGCATTTTTTCCAGTTATGCTGTTAATATTTGAAAAGCAGTTTTATCTTTTTAAAATGCTGTAGTAAACTTCTAGATGGCTGTGATACAATTATTTTTTTAAAGCCTAGATGATGAACTGGATTCTTTCCATGATTTGAAGAAACAGGAAACAGAAGAAGAGTTAATTGAAAATGATTATAGAGTTAGTACCTCCAAAATAACCAAGCAGTCTTTTAAAGACATAGAAAAAGGTAAAATAAATATTTTAGAACAATCAATTAAATAGTAACTTTGTCAAATAGAGTACATGAAGCTTTCCTCCTGGTAATAACACTGGCCCCCAAGAGTCTGCATATTTCTGTGTTCTGAACTTCTATAAGCCAGGAGATAGTTACTGTGCTTATTATTAAATTAAAGGAGCAGAGGAAATTAAACTTCATTATTTTTCAGTAATATTCCTGTACCCTCAAAATTTA